AATGTTGGTTCCAGAGAAGCATGAATTCTTTATGTGAAGGGAGAGGTTTGTATGAAAGATAGCTGTGAGAGAATCTTAGCTCACCATCAACTACTAGCAAATAAGTTTTTAACATAGAGAAAAAGATTTCTCAATGAAAGGCAAAATTTACACTTCTGTACTCCTGATCAATGGTCAAATACAGAACACAGGCACAAGCCTCTACAGCAGAGATCAGTGACAATTTTGATTTACACCAAATCTAACTATTCCAGTAACAACAGTGCCCACCTGCGCACAGGTCATCGACCCACAACATTGCCTAGGGAACGAAAAAATAAGAGTTAAAAAAAAATAAATAAATAAAAAATATTGATCTCCACAATATGCCGGAAAACCAGCTTTTCGAAGTGAGAATGAGCATGGAAACACAGAAGAAGGCAGAGCATTCCACAGTTTGGCTGTGTGAGGAGAGAAGGCTGTACTATAACGGGTTATTCTGGTGTGACCGGTATCCACAGAGAAACGGTGGGCAGTGGGCAAGACGAGTGTTACAAGCCCACGGCCTTGCCAGCAGTACAAAGGATGCCAAATCCACCGAACATTGCCCATTAAAGTACCTGTAAAAAAGAGAGTAAAGCAACATTGTGGCAAAGAGAAAGGGAAGAAAAATTATCAACTAAAGGAGGAGAGTTAATGAGACGAATTGCCTTTGATTCCACCCTATCTAACAGTCGGACAGAAGAGCCATCCCGGATATGAGAGCAGTACTCCAAGTTAGGACTAACACAATACCATTTAAATACAGCTGAATTTGGGCAAGGAATAACCTTTGTGAAAGACTCACCAAAGCTGGTCTCTGCTCTCTCTCCATTGACATGAGATCTGGTCAATGTCATGTCATAATCTGCAATGATCTGAAATTTGGATGGTAGTAGGCTTACTATGGCTCAACATCATGCAAGATAAATACTACTTGACCTGGATATTTTTTTTTACACTTAAGCAATAAGAAAGGTGTGCCTCTATAAACATGCACAAACACATACAATAGAAGCTCAGAAATCTGAAAATCAGTTAACTAGGACTCCCCTAAAAATAGCACATTTGAACAATATTAAAATAAAGTTGTTAACTGGCTTTGTGTGCGACAGGAGAAATAAAGGACAAAAAGAGAAGGAGGACAAAACAGGACAGGAAGAGAGGGAAAAAGATAGGTGACAGGAGAAGGAGAAATAAAGGACATGAAAGGAAGCACAGTACTGTATAGTTAATTATTTGAACTTAAGTACTGTACACTCCTCAATAAATGTTGACAGGTACCACAGTCAGTGTTTCCACTTTCAAGGAAATTCCCTTATTTAAAGGAAATTTGGTGCTCATAAGGAGCTTTCTAAGGAAGTGCTAAATCTAAGGAAAGCAGGAGTTGGGAATAAAAGAAGATTGGGTTTATTTTATTTGCTAATCAAAATATATGGAATTAAATACAGTAATGAAAACATGGAGAAGAAAATATACTAATTCTGGCCAAGTTCTTGCTGCTTCAAAGCCTGAACTGTGCTTACAATTACTACATTTTTAAGTACAAGGTACTATACAGGACATAGACAGGTCCGCTGCCTGCCTATCACTGAGTCACTACAGGATGGTTGAAAAGTACCATATTGCTTATACAGTATTAATTATAATTTATTCTCTGTAGTGTTTGATCATTTAATCAATGGATTCTGTATAATTATACTGTATATGGTTAGTTAGTAATACAGTAATGAGTTTTTAAGGAGTTTCATTCCTACAAGGTAATAAAATAAAATATTTGGTCTAACTTATGGGAAGATGTAGTAGCTATGTGTTCACTTCGCTGGTCTTAAGCAAGAAAGTTTACTTGAATTGTTAGCAACAAGAGATTTGCATTCCAACAGGCAGGAAAAAATCAAGCTGCAAACTTAAACCTGCCAAAAGATATGCCACACTACGAAAATTGTTTCTTGGAAATATAATACAAGAACAACAGAATAAATAGACAAGTATGTAATCATGTAATGATAATAAACTTGTGAACTTTGCCTCTCATAGTCTTTCACTTTCACCTCATTTTCTTTAACTCTCTCTCTCTCAATAAGTAATTTGCTCAGCACTTCCCTAAACCTAGAAATGTGTGTGCAAAAATGGGTTTTGCCTCAACATGTAGAGAATTGTGAATGTAGTGGCGAACAGATAAAGATAGAAGCATGAACAAAAAACAAGTAAAATCATAATGGTCAACATTCACAAATTCATGCAATATGTCCTCCCCATCCATCTGACGTCTGAAAACTCAAAGAATACAGCTGATGTCAAGAGATATGGTTCATCTGCATCAGTCTATGATGTATCTACAGTTGTAAAAATATAAAATGATTGCAATTCAAAGCCGTAATCTAAAAATAATTACCAAATTTAATCTTGACTGCTTAAAATAAAAGGGAACTGTGGGAACTGTTTTTAAGGTTGATCTCTAACCCTTAACATATTAATGATTTCAACTGATTCACTGGAATTGTCTGAAAATAAAAATTGTGCTGCTAAGATAAACCAGTCTAATAATTATCTACTACATTTCTATACCTACAACAACCTGTATGGTCACTAATCCATCCCGTACATAAATTTCTTCTCTTAATTTCTTTATACGCAATCATCAAGTCTACCAGTGCAAGCTGTGGAATCGAGAACAGTACAGTCCTGGGCTTCAAAATAGCCCTTGATAAAACTATCAAGAACAATGGAGGGATTCTACATGGGCCACTGGTCTCCTTTCCTCTGCATGACTACCTCTAGTGGGTGGCCATTAGGTAACTATCAAAAAGGTAAATAAGGTAAGCATAGTTCATTATTCTACTAGTCATTAAAAAGTGGGGACACTGGGTACGGAATGAAACAAAGGATTGTGAAAAGGGTCACAATCTAATTTGATGAGAAATTAATGGAAAGAAGAATTATGTACTCGATTTACTAGTTTATTTCTAGATACTTTTGCTTCCAGTCATAATACTGTACCATGAAGCTGATTATCTTACTTCTCAAAATCTTGTTTTCATAAACAGTACTGTACAGTAAACCCCCGATAAGACGGACTAATTGAGGGGAAGGCCAGTCTGTTAAAGCTGAAAGTCCGTTATATCCGGATCAGGAATAATAATGGACTCGGTCCAGGCCAAGCAGGACTCGAACCCAAGACATACTGGTTAGGCAGACAAGGCTTCAATTAGACCTCGTATCTCTACTAGACCTCCTATCTCTACTGTCTCTATTGGGCAACCTCTGCTTCTAATGTACCCTTTTAAAAGAGACAGTTGCTATGGGGAGGGGCAGGCAATCACAAGATCAGACTCCAGTTGCCAAATAGGTATGATATTCTGTTCTACAGCCCCAGAATGACCAGAGCATTAACACTTCAGGAGCAATCCTTTTATACTGTACTTCACTATACAGTACAGTACAGGCAGTCTCCACAATACAAACACCCGTACTTAAGAATGGAATCCCAATAGTATTGTATATTCATCACAAAAATCTGCAATTAAAATTTTTATCTTTAAATTACTTTATATAATTTAACATCACTTAATTTTAATTATTTACAGGTATTTACATTATTTGTTATGTATGGGTAGGGTTGTGTTTTAACCTAACCTGACCTAACCTATGAAATTAACACCATTCTGACTTACGAACAAGATCCAGGAACGTAACCCATTCGTATCTCAGAGACTGGCTGTACAGTACAGTACTCTATTCTTCCTAATATCTTGCAGTGGTTTATCCATATACTGTACCAGTATGTAAAAGACTGAGGATCAGTATTTTTTCATGACAACCTCATAAATAGTGGTGGCTATTTTGTACAGGTGTTATGCTTTATGGAATTTGTCAAATGAACGTACAGTAGTACCAGTAAATACCAAAGAAATATGCGACTTAAGAGTATTTGTTTTGTTTTACTAAATTCATGAAATAAACCCTACTCCGTGTGTGTATATAAAAGTAGCTTTCTATAGCAACAAGTTTTACATATATCAAATGTCCACCAAGTACCCTGCAGTTCCCCCAGAACCGCGCTATGGAAGCTGCCACACTTATCTTAAGAAATTCCGTGGGTAAAAAATTTGGCCAAAATAAAGACTACTAACCAAGGATGAACTTCAACATTACTTCAATTTACACCAAAACCACAGGAGACCCACAGGTAAAATCTAAGTACTGTATGTACACTCGCACCAAAAAGTATCGGTGCAGGGTGAGATCGACGACTTCCGAAATGATACGTATACACTGTGATATGTCGGGAAGGTTGGTAAGTGTATCCTCATAACCCCCTCCCCCCTCCACTAGGTGTTGCCATATGGCTGACATTCAGTGTGTTTGTTTCCTCTTTTCAGATTGTTGCTTTGTGTCGACTGAATGATGTGCGAGGGTTTGGTCTCGGTGAACGTGGGTATAAAACAGAGGCAATATGAAGCAGTAGAGATCTACACATGCCAGACGACATGGAAACCTCAGAGGGAACACGAGGAGCTATTATTGCCCTTCATAACGAAGGGTTCGGCGTCACAGATATTAGCCGGCGGGTTGGTGCACACAGGAACACCGCTGCACGATGGATTCGCCGATACCTCAAAAATGGTGCTACAGACGACAGGTCTCGGAGCGGCCGTCCAAGCTGCACCACCCCTCAGGACGACCAGATTGAGTGGTTTATTTGGTAGCATAAATTAATGTGGCAATATTCACAAGTATCACAAATAATTTTCTTAACAGGGAGCTTCTCATATTTCGTACTGTCTATTTATCACTTCCCGACCTTATTTATAACGGTTTGTTTCACTTGACCGGGGCTGCCAACATACGGCTGGAACAACTCGCTTTTCCCAATACCTATCGTCACTGGTCTCAAATTGTTCACACCACAGTATGCACCGATACTTTTTGTTGCGAGTGTACTCTCCCACACAATAGCTCCTACCACCTTGACCACTTACCCCACGAACAGTGGCAGCGCCGTCCTTCCATATGAACTCTTGTCAGAGTGAAGTCAAAGTCCACCACCAGCTGAGGGCAAACTAACTGTAAGTCAAATTTCATACCAAGCAAAACAGAAAGAGGGAAACTCCATCCAGACAAGTAATGTACCTTCTAAGCTTGTGATAAAAAATTATAAGACAATATGCTTGCTAACCCGGGCAAGTGTAGTGATACAAAGTTCATAATATCGACTGTATTTGGATCTTCAGTAACTAAACAGATGTTGCATCAATATAACTTTTCTTTCAAGTTTGCAAAGTCCAGGGTTTCAGTAGCAGTTCATGTAAATATGGCATGCATCTTAAAAACTAGCATAAATATTTTTGCAGTCTAAGAAATGAAGATAAGCTGGCAGAAAATTAAACATTTTGTACTTTACAATTAAGGTGCTTAATAATCATTGACTTCCAAATTATATCTAAAATCATTGAAAATAAAAATAAAAAATTCTGATCAAGCATTACTATCACACACACCTAAAAAATTACTCATAATAAAGGAAATGTGAAAGTGATGACATATTGCTCCTCTAATTTCACTATATTTTCTATCAATCTGAGCAGTGAAACAGAAATATAAAAAGTATTACATCCTTGACAGGTGGAAAAATTTGTACAAAATAATACTGAATATGTACATAGTTTGCTCTACAACTTCAATACTGGCAGTGCTCAATGTTTTGGTGTGTGTATTCTGACTTTCTTTCTTCATACTGACGATTTAATTTTCCTTGGAATTTTTTTTACTTAGGTTTTATTTTGCTACATATTGTGTTATACTGTACTACATTAATTTATAAGAGTAATTTTTACACTCAATTTAATTGACAGTCCAGCAACAAATGCATCCCTGTTACACACCAGTCACTCTTCATTTGAGAAACAATGTGAGGATTTTCTTTTAGCTTTCCCCTGTCTAACTATGCAACTAAAAGACCAGCATCAAGATGACATGAACAAATTTGTTGACAAAGATATTGTATCACTGGAAACAAAAGCTATAGAAGATACTATCTAAAATAAATTACCACGAGATCATGGAAATCAGTTACGACATCTAAACTGGGACCCATGTGTCCAGGTTAGCTAATAATAGAGAATGGCAAACAAAAGGTCTCTATTGTAAAGAAGTGGTATTTGAAAAGATGTGCTTAGATGAACATCAATATGTAATGTTGTCTGTGGCTAATCCACCATCGGGAAAAAGTCTTCAGCTTGGATTCATGTCCAGACAGGCTAACCTCCAAAAGAAGAAAAAACATAACTGCAATAACTACTAGAGCACTGCATTACTGAAAGAAACTATCAGGTTCTCAGTTATTATCTTGAACAGTCTGGAGTCCCATATAAAGTCAACAACTCCTTAAACTTAGAGCAGTGTCAAGTACAGTCAAAAGTTATTATGTATGTCTGTCCCTGGAAGGCATCTGACAAACTGTATCATGAGACTGAAAGCAATACTGTACCGTATTACCCATTTGGGTCTCCATAAGGCTACTGATCTAGGATCTGATTTGCCATTAGCATGCATGATCTTAAATTCTCCCAAATCACTGAAAAGATTATGCATATTATTTCTAAATTGCCGAATAATGTCACCTTGCGACCTTACATTACTTGAAAATAATGGGGAGACTTATGAATATAACCCCCTTGTGAATAATGTGCTGGTCAATCCACTTTTTTATGCATTCATGTTCTTACTACAAGCAAGTGGTGATTGCTGTTCTTATGTAATAACCATACCAACATGCAATAGTCAATAGCAAAGAGTCTGTCTGTTATGTATTAATAGATCACAGATGCATAGTGTAGATATTTCACAAGAGCAATGTGTTCTAGAGAGTTCCATGTATAACACTCTGCTGGACACCAAAACTCCATGGAACACACAGATTAGGGGACAGAAGGTGAACAGAAATTCTAGGAACAGTATTGTATTCCTTCCAAGAGTTTGAGAGTATAATTACAGTACATGGGAAAATTCTGAAATATAACTATGCTTTGACAGGCAAATGTAACTACAGTATGTCATAACTGAAGAATGTAACTGTATGCTGAAAAAGAGAGATGTACCATATTGTAACTGTATGCTATAACAGAAGGATGTACAGTATTGTAATTGTATATCAAGACAAGAATGCAGCTAAGTTGTAACAGAAGAATATGTATGAATAGTTATACTGGGTAAAGTAGTAAGCAGGCAATAAAGAAAAACAGATAACACATACATACATATGGTACATACACAAACATACATAATGAAGGTAAATTAAGGTGAAAATAGAGTAGGTAAAATATACAAAATGATAGACTAGAAAACCAACTCACAATACACAAATGATATACACTATTCTAGGGATTCTTCAGGATTACACTCACAGCTGAAGTACATACATAGAACTCTAGCTTTAAGATGAAAGATGGAAACTGTAACTACCGAACTAGTAAGGGAGCACCACATGGGAAAATAGTGAAACATACACAAATAAACAGATCCAGGATAAAATATGAAGCTGATACATAGAAAGATATAAAAACACAAGGTAAAACAGGAAAACACCACTGGTGTGGATACCCAATGGGAAAAGGATGACACAAACCAAGATATAAGGTGAAAAGAGTACAAAAAATAATGGAAAGTCTTAACATATGGTCATAGATGTCCAATGATGTTAAAAAATTAGAGATAAGCTGCATTAAATACTTAAGGTGAATGTGATGAATAGCACACTATGATAAAAAAGTACAAATACTTATAATATTGTAATTTCACCAATTTTGCTTATTGTTAATAGCATATTAGCTACAATTTCACCAATTACACTTATTGTTAATAGCATATTAGCTGTTCTTTAGGGCCCAGCCGTAATGACCCAAGGTGTCAACGGCCAGCAAAACAAAGCAGCTTTTCTTTAGGTATATTCTCTGATGCTCTGTAGCAACAGGGGTTAATAGTTAATGATAATATATACTGCAAATGTTTTCAAAAGGTACTGGATATGAAAGTGAAGAATCACTATACCTTATACTGTATATGTCACAACTGGTCGAGTACCTTAAATCTGCATTCATATCATTAATCAAAAGAAATACAGTGGTCCCTCGGTTAACGAGCACAATTCGTTCCAGAAGGTTGCTCGTTAACCGAAAAATTCGTTAACTGAAACCATTGTTTCAATGGGTTTTTGGGTAATTGGTTCCAGCTCACCGAAAATTACAGACAAACTAAAAATAAATGCAGTAAAGTACACTTACTTTGAGGTGTGCATGTAGAAGGCTCCTGGTTGATGATGATGATGTGAATTAGAATGGGGGTGGAGGAGAAGGGAGAACAGAAGGCATTGGGGTGGAAGAGAAGTCACTCCCATGCTGCCATTTCACCCATCAAATTTGAGTTCATTTGGTGTAATTCAAGATTATTTTCTTTAAATCAACACTGCACTGCGCTATATATTATCAATATGTAAAATATATTTCAAAATGGCCAATAATTTGACTGGAAACACAGAACAAAAGCATTTATGCTGAAGAGTCTCAAACAAGATGTTCTTTCCCCTGAACTGGTAAACAAACTGACGCCAAGCTTGGTGTGTTGAGTGGCTGTTTGGCGTGCAAAAAACTAGTTTCCTGTACTTCAATTACGTTCAATAATTGTTAAAATGACAAAAAATTTAATATAAAACTTTTAAAATTATTTAATAGTACAACCTTCTTGATATTTACTAAAATGGTAAGGAATTTAAGCCCCAAAACCGATTAAAGTATTGGCGGACTAATACTACAGCTGATGGGTAGCCAAATGCAGGTGAAAACATGTTGGGAAAAATTCGTAAGGAATTCGTTAACCGAGGGTTTGCTCGTTAACCGAAGTGAAGAATCTTATGGAAGGTAATTCGTTAACCAAAATTTCGTTAACCAAGGCGCTCGTTAACCGAGGGATCACTGTATAAACAAAAGAATGCAAAGAACATGTTTTAAGACTAATGGGTCAAAGTACAGTGCATGAGTGATGATTTTTAGACAGACACCATAACTGGTACAGTATAGCAACTTTAATTTCACTCCTGTTGCTGCATCAAATCAACTTTAAATTAACACAGCTGACTGCCATAATTAGCTATCCCTACCTAAACAAATACAAACTTCTGTCTCTGTCTCATGATGCACAATACATTTGAAGACTTAAACAAAGTCACTCTCTAGCCTGAAGTTCATGGTTACACCAGAGATGGCTCATCCCACCTGCAATTTAGAGAATCCACTTCCCACAATAGTAGTCACAAGTTCTTCAGCACGAGCCATGTCCTGGATGCGTATGTGGGTGGCACTTAGCAGTCCTAGCTGGAGACGTATATTGCATAAGTTTGTGTTCCAGTAATAAGTGTAATACTGTACATATTAAAAGAAAGACCTAATTCCTGTGTATATAATGGGAGGAAAATCCAGGGATGAACTTAAGTAAAATGATAAGCACAGTAATCAGATCTCTATATACCAGTAATGAGATCACAGATGTCCATCTGCATTACAATTTAGATTGACAGTTAATTCTAAAATATAAGTACACGTACAGATTCATATATGGAGTACAAAGCAGTAACATGTGTGTTAGAGGAAAAACACGGAATTACAGGTAGTATATTCATTATGTGTTTTATTGTCCATCAGATAGCTGTTTTTATTAGTACACATACCCCAATAATGATATAATATTTTGGTTCACTGGTATAACTTGGTGGCAAAAATGTATACAGCACGTATATGCCTTACTCAATTAAGTTAAGAAATTTTTACTTTTTAAGTCCCATAATTAATGAATGTCTAAAAATACTGAACAAAGGAACTAATGTGATTATCATATATGCGATGAAAAATGAAGGATGCATCTTGAAACTCCATCTTTAAACAGAGCCAATAGAGGAGCAACCCATTAACATGTAAGAAGTATCCCAAAGCATGTGGGGTTTTCCCAGTTAACCCCTAGGCTATATGCAACTGGAGATAACCTTAAGATCACTTATCTCCCCTGTAATATAGCCATCACACAAAAGTGACAAAAACAAAAATCTGATTAAATTATACATGGGTTTGATTAACAGTAAGGAAGGAAAGTTCTTTTTCAAAAGTGGCAGCACAGAACTGAGGTTGTAGAGGTGTGTGGAGGAAACTGAAAGGGTTACCTTGAAGCCCGTAAGATAAATCTCTAAATTAAAAAAAAAAAATCTGAATTCATCATTTCCATCACTTATCAGCTTAATACGGTGGTCAATGTGTTCCTTGTTTACTGCATTACTGTACACTCTTCACTGTTCAGTCTGTGAAGAAATTTGTTTAATTATGAACTCACATAATAAAGTAAAACCCACCTTTTCTAGTGTGGGATACATTGTCCTGGTCTCTGGCATGAAAGAAGGTGGAGCGCAGGAGAGAGCAGAATCTGACGATTCTGTTGCTTTGGTCCGTACACAATTAACTTTGTTATGTAAGTCAATGTTCAGTTCCAGAGGTCTTGATCCACCAAGGACTCGTGTGAGTTGCCTTCCTCCTGCCCTAAGTACAGTGCCACGTGAACTAATCATGAAGAACCAACAACACCCACCAGTTCTGGTCACTTTCCAATGCTTGGTTTCAACTGTCACTCCTACTTTCTGTAACAAATGCATAAACAATAAACTTCAAATACCCTTGTACAGTACAGTACTATATTAAGTGTTGGCTAGGTTTTTCAGCTGGAATTTATATATGGTAGTACTGTAATAACATTCTACATTATGATCGAATGAAGAAGACATGCTTCTTTTACACATTTCTATCATGGTTTAAAAACTAAAAAAAAGAAAAAAATGGACAAGCCTTTCTTAACAAAAAAAATGAAAAGGTTAAGGGTACTGATTACACAGTACAAGTAAAATTTTTCTGTTGGGGAGGGAGTACAATAAACTTAATTACAGTGGGCTCTTATCCAATGCAAATTTGATTACTGTACACATGGTTAAATACACTCCTCATCATTGCATTATGCGCGAGGTGGCTGACGGGAAGTGATGTTTGCTGTAAGTGTCTCACACCCCTCCACGCCAGCCAGTTGGGGCTGAGACAGGCACCGTATGTCTGGCAGGGAAGGGAGTCTCAAGGACAAGTCAGCCAGCAATCAAAACATTCACCAGTTGCCCGCGTAAATTTTGTGAACGAAGATTTATGAGTTTTACCCCTCCCCCCCCCCCGACACTGCCCCTATTTATTGCCACAACGCCCGTTGTTTCTTTGCCTTTTTTACCACAAGGGGCAACAGGAAAGACAATAAAGGAGCAGATAGCAACAAAAAAGTTTTACTTATGCAACTTAGGGTGTACATAGTACCCACCTGAAAAAGAAACAACATTTTAAATTTTCCCAAGAAGCATTCTGGTGTTGGCAATAAACCTGGGTTAGGGTAAGAAAATAACAAAACTACTATAACAACAAAAGTGTACTGTACATGTACTGCAGAGCAAAAACTAAACAGATTTAAGCATATACAGTACAGTAATGTATCAACATAAGGTATACAATAATCATTATGTTTGGAATTAAGCATCTGATGGCTTTGTCAGCTATCTTAGGTCAAATTTCATATTTGTTTATCATTGTTCTATACCTGCACTGTCTGGATACATTGAAAAATGTATACCTGTACAGTCTATGTGCACCTACATTATCTACAATATATATTGTACCAATTGTAAACTTGTATGATGATTTTACTGAGTAACTATATTACATATTATTATTATTATTATTGTTGATTCTTTAGGCCAACTATGTTGAAAATACCATTGCATGTTTTAATGGTCATATGAAGATTAGGCAGCTCAGATTATTTCACCTAATAATTAAACACACTAATGCTACCTGGAAAGGTTAGGTTAGGTTAAATTAGGTTAGGATACGTTAGGTTATGTAAGCGTAAGGTGTTTTTTATGGCGCCTCTTCGATAAGTTTATTAATTACAGTAGGTTAGCTTAGGTAAGATAAGTTTAGGTTGGGAGAGGTTGGAAGCTTGTCACACTGCCACCAGCTGCTTTGGAGTGAAAAATCACTTTAACCCTAAAAATTTATAAAACAAGGTAAAATAATATGTTTTATGTGTTTTAACCCCACAGTTTCCACACTTCTTCAAACTACTGAATTATGAAGTGCTTGCTTAGCTGGGTACTGCAGCTTATAAATGCAAGAGCTTTCATAGCCAGGTGCCCATAATATAAGGTTTGGATTTAAAGAAAAAAATTTAACACACCTTTCCCCTAACAATTATAAAAACGCTGGATTTTCACTGTTTTATTATAGTGGACACTGTCATAGTTTGTGAAAATATGTTAAAAAATGTATACATGTATTCTAAAAATAAACTTTACTTAACATTTGTGGGTATGAAAAACAGACCTAACCAGCCTAACCAAACAAACCTACCTAACCTAACCTAACTTCCTTACTGAGGGATCCACCCCCCAGTATATTAAACAGAAAGAACTTACTATGATATGGTGAAATTTGAGGAATTTTCTTGACGTGAGATGATACAGCCGCATCGGCGCTAAGCACCCCGGGCGGCGGAGTGATTTACGTACTGTGTTGGTGGTTCCACAATAAATGATTATCATCTCAGAACTCACTGATAAAAATAATGTAAGACAATAAACAGTAAGATTGGCGACAACCTTCACAAGACATCCTGAAAAACAAGCAGCCCTGGGCGTGGGAAAGCCTCCCAGCAGAGCGCGGCCTCATTACCGCCCACAAGACAAATTAGTGCACGCCTAGGCGCCTAATTATCTATGAACGTACAATTTCCACAATAAATGATAACCATATCAGAACTCACTCATGAAAATAATGTAAGAAAATAAACAGACATAAAATTAATTCGTCCGCGGGTTAGACCTACATATTAACCCAAGATTTTACTATACATTAGATTAGGTTGCAAGCTCTTACAATAAATTGCCAGGGTGCCCAGCTACAAAAGCTCTAACAATTTTCAACATCTTCCTTTAAGGTATGTTTGCTGTTAGTTAAAAATAAGCTGGCAGACCTCTTCTTCAATATTAGCATACATTCTAATCCCAATACAATATCCCATAAACCACCAATTTAGTGGCATCCAAGTCCCTAACACTTTCCTAATATAATATATTTATTACTGAACCTGCTGACAAAGCTCTGTAACATAAGGAGTCATTATTAATGGCATAGGGCATAGACTAGTCACCAGTGGTGAAGAGGATAAAAGTTACTATCTCAATATACTGCAGGACACAACACTGAAACATCTTACTTTTCCTATGTCCTCTGAAAGAAATATCGTCTTGTAGTGTCCTGATACACCCGAACATATAACACAAAAATACAACATGTAAAGGGCCAAAAAAATTATACAGTAATATCTTAAAATGTTGTATGGTTAAGTGTTATTTGTCACTTATATTGATGACCAACTTACCTATGACACTAACAACAAGCTGCTTCAACCACCTTCAGTTCTTCACCCTCCCTCCACTTCCCGGGACAAACAACCATACAAAATCACATCAATATTCCACCTCCGGATATGAATGTATCCGTAAGAAGTTTACATAACGTTTAATTTTTATCACATAAATTGCTATGGAATTCACCATAAATACTGTTTACCAACTGTAAATCAAACTCCACACTACACTCTCTCCCTTCCAAGGGCACACACACTGATAACCAATAACTAATGTAATTTTTCACTTTCAGAAAATATTTCCGTATGTGTGTCAGTCTATCAAAACTATCTCTAAATATATCATAAGAAAATGAGGACAGATAATGATAATAACTTTGTTTCATTACCCTAAACCTCAGTCTAAACTGTTGTATTACGCTGCCTGGTAGCTTGTTATACAATAAGAGAGAAAGCACACGGTGTGTATATATATTTTTATTTCACTTTCTCCTCTTCGTCACTATTCGGCAGTAGTCTCGTCATTTGTATAGTATTTCCATTACAAACTGCTGTAAGGAAAACCTTTTCTAATTAAGTCTAACCAATGCTGTAATTAAGCAAACTCAATTGTTTTCGAATGTTAATACTGTATTCACGTGATATTAATCGTGATTTGTGAATACTCTGGTCCTTAATTCTACAACGTCCGTAGGGAAAAAATAATATATACGGGTCTGTTGGATAAGTGTTTTCTTTGGCCATTTGTGCAGTAAACTGTTTACTATACATGGTGGACAAGGTGACATTAAGCCAAAAAAATCTGTGAGCTGCATCGTTTTCACAACATAAAAAATACGTCGCCTTGTCATATGTGAATCATGTGAGGTTGATATAAAGCATATATATATATATATATATATATATATATATATATATATATATATATATATATATATATATATATATATATATATATAGATAAATGACAAACAGTCACGACCCTAGCTCTCAGAAAATGTGCATTGAGAATTCCCAAGAGGGGAAGATTTCACATGGCAGAATTGACAAATGAAAGGTTAACTTAAGAAGCTTGATGCTTTTTGGAGTTACTAGCATGATTTGTTATCAAGGGTCCAGTAATTTTTTTTAAATAGTTTTGTCTCACTCGTTGTATTGAAAATAGGATGATAAATTTATAAAACTACCCTATTAACTTAATAGACATAATTACATGGTATTATTATTTGTAATTTAATTGTTTATGTCCTGAATTTCTAGTCGAGTCACGTATAGAGAAGACGTGTTTCGTTTTTATCCAGCAAAAACATTTTCATTAACTTTATTCTTCCTACCTGACTCTACCAGACTCCAGTACTTGTGCCTTTGCTTGTATATGCTAATAATTTTTTTAACTGTGCCTATACTTGTACTAATATCTGTACAAGTTGTAATAGCTTCTACCTGTATTTTGTACAGGTATACGTACCTAAATATATATCTATTCTTAGTGTTCATGTCTGTAACCGTATCTAAAATTATATCTATACATTTAATTGACTTTTTTTGTTTTAAGTTTACATAGTGAAAATAAATATAGACAATTATATTTCCAAAATTTTTTCCCCAGGAGGTAAACGTGCAGGGGTTAGTAAGGAGCGCCAGACGCAGTGTTGTGGTACGTCATCTGACTCGTTCATCAGATTTAATAAGTCTCTTCCTTACCTTCTATTTCTTTCCTGAATTGTGATGAACGAAGCCGCCTTGGAGGTGGCAGCAGGGGTCAACTCTACAGTGGCACAGATCACTTCAGCACTGCGTTTGCTGGTTTCTGCTGCTACCGCCATCGTCTTGGACGCTGAGGGTCAGGTGTCTCTGCAGTCCTTCTATCAGGTTACAGGTAAGAGGTCATGTCAAGACTGGATATAGCTTGTAAAGCCACGGGTGAATGGTAAATCTTTTGAATAATCCATTCTAAGGAAACCCATAATTTTGTTCTTGTGCAAAACAGTACAGTAATCCTTCCCGAGGACGGATTCCCCCCTTCAGTCATTCTTGTCATGCAACACTGAAGGTTAAATGAGATAATGCAAGGTGCGTGTTTCTTTTGTCATGTATCTGTCCCCGGTAATAGTGGAGGAAACGGTGGTAAAGGTGGAAAACACGGTTAGCAGTAGATGAAACTATTGGAATTGGACCAAAATTTATGGAGATACTATTTGCACGATACTAAACACGATTTTTTTTGTACTGGATTAGCCCACCCGGGCTTAGGTCACTGACCCACATCAGGGCCTGGGGGGCGAAAATATAACAAAAACATTAATAACAATAATAATAACAAGAAATAGTAATAGTAAAAATTAATAGAAATTATAATAAAAATTAAAAGTATAATAATAATAATAATAACAATAATAACGATAATAATAACCATAAATAAATACAAAAATAAATCGAATGAGAAACCATATACAGTACAGTATGTATGTTGTGTTGTCAATGGTAAGAGAAACAATTGAGACCCTGCAATTGTGTGTAAATGAGGCAGAAAGTCAGATCAGCAACCAAGGACTTGGTCACAATTTTTGTGATACCATATGGCAGCAGGGTCTACCATTAGACAACACATTATGCCTCCAATGCAAAGAACCGAACAGACCTGACCTGACCTAACCAACCTAACCTTACTTTACTTTGATGTCTGGTACCAATGAAAGCAATTTTCTTGAAGTGGCATTCTCTAAATTTAATTTTTTTTTTTTTTTTTACATAAGACTACAATTGGTTCAGTTGTTACAGTGAAATACTATTTTTTCTTCACTGTCTGTTCTCTGCTACATTTTGAATGCTTACACATCCTGCCAACTAGTCCATGTTAGCAGATGAACTCCTGGAGACAATCTGCATCCTCCTCAAGGACAGATAACTTGCAATACGATAAACTGTCCACCTTTACCCAGTTCCTCCAAGTGATTGGTTAATACAGTATTGCTTTAAAAGTTATTATTGATGTGATATGGCCTGTTAGCTGGGGTAAAATTGATATAGGATGGCATAGATAAGGTTAGGTTCAAATGGTTTAAAAATTTCCTTAGAATTAATAGATTTTACTCATACTGTATTCCTCATTATGATTGGTAAGGTTGAAAAAAATATGTTTAAAAGTTTTTCAGTCATATTCTTCATTGTTAACAGTTGAGCACCACATTCCAATGGAGCTTTAAGGTATACTGTACTGTAATTCCAGAGACTTGTAATTAATTTTTGTGTGTTACAGTTGTAAGTGCTATAACATGCACAGGTATTTTATACTGTTTTGTATACAGAATATTTGTACTCTTGTTATTTTTATCTTTACTACTTGTTGACATACCCCTAATTTTTTCTCTTAATTACACAAAGCGGTACATTTCATACCAGGTTAGTGACTCAATATATTCCCATAAAACAGTAATTAGAGTATGTCCTATTCATGATGATTTTATCTTTTTTATGTGTTTTAATTAGTCACAATTACTAGATAATCACACACCGAATTTAGATGGCATTAACTGAACTGTACTGGTATAATTCAACATAAATATACTGTGGCTACCAATATTTTTCAGATCAGTATCAGCAGTTGTTTGCACAGGCAGTTGCTTCCACCAGTAATAATTAGTTCTTGGTCTCTGTTATCATGACTGTTTTTTATCTTCCTTATTTTGATTTCATTCTATTAAATGACTTCTCCATCAGACAGCTAGTTTGACTGGCATACACTATGTTCTCAGTACATCAGATTACTAGATCCATACCCATATTGTCTTCCAAAACGGCAAACATCTCACCTTGGCTCTCTGATGGCATCACATGCAAATGGCAAATACTGTAGTTATCCATATGATCTTGCAGTATAGTGATCAAAATTATCTTGTTATTGCTCAAATGATCCTGTAATGATCAAAGTGATCTTATAGTTATCTAGATAATCTTTAATGATTCAAATAATCCTGCAGTGAACCAAATGATTAAATATTGATTATTTCTGGCCAAAAAAACAATATCCTCTACTTCTCTTAATTTTTAACTGAGGTTAAATTTAAGATACAGTTCATTTACAGTGGTTAGATATGTAGGATTTATACAGTCGTTGAGAAAATAATGTAGATCATGAATATTGTTTTTTGACAACCTCATTTCTTATACTGTAATGTATTTACTTTCAGTTATTGATATACAGTGTATCAGAAGTTCCAGTGTACAGCTACATCTGCCAACTGCTGTTGAGCTATGACATGTTTTATTTAACATCACAACTGTGGTGCAAAGTATGTCTTGTAATCAAGGATCTTAACAGTGTGATTATTTGTTTTCTTTGAATTTTAGCAGCATGAGGAATTAACATTGCCGAGTGCTTGCATAACCGGGTACCTGGGACATTTAAAGCCTATCTCAATTAACCCTTTAGAGGGCAGCTCCACACTTAGGCATTTTATTCTGGCTAATGCCAGACGATTTTATTCAGCTGAGAGAAACCCCTGCTCTCTAAAGAGATAATGTGACAAAGCATGTGTAGTTGGGTACCCTGACTATTTAGTGCAGTAGAGATTGTATTGTTGAGGTACCCAGCTATGCAAGCTCTGCCTTAACATTAATGTGTATTACAGATGTTTGCTAATTTGTACAGTAATTCAGTTTTGTATACAGTACCTTTTTCTGGTGATTTAATCAAGATACAGCAGTGTAAAGTTTACAAATTGATACAAAAGTATAAGGTACTGTATAATAAGTGCTTTACTATGCAGTATATTTGCTGAAACAAATACTCCAGACTTTTTTATGTTAACCAGAAATTGGGACTTACAGTATTTTCTAATAGTGATAGTAAAATTTGAATAAGTATAAACTTAAGACACAAAAGCTGAATTGGATTGGTCAACTAAGTAACAAGGTAGCTGTGGTGTGAAATTGAGGAGCTACATAGGGTTTGGAAAGTAGGTATATTGTGATGATGATGATGTTAAACACATAGTGCAGTACAGTACTGTATACCAGATCATCACAATAGGTTTAAGTGCATGGGGCCTACTATGCCAAGTTTTCATTCCACTGTACTTGAGTATGTAGTGCCACAGTAAGACTTTTGTCTCACATGACTCCAAATTCAGTGTCAGTGACTTTTATGGATGCAGTATATTGCATTTTGTGGATATATTAGTGATAAATGCTAATTGCTGTACCGGTAACAACTTAAGATTACACTGTCATGTCAGTATATTGAACAACAAAGATTCGACTGATTGTGTGCTCTTTGTATGTGAGGTCTAGAAAAGATAATTCTAATATTACCTTTGAATTTTTTATTGTGGTGGTCCCAGGGTATGATAATGTATGAATAAAATGAATAAAAGGAATTGTTGAGGAGAAAGCTGTAATATGAATAGTAGTAAAACTGAGGTGGTTTTGTTCAGATGGGATAATGTGAAAAGAGTGATTGCATTCCTACAGTACAGTGGTCCCTCGGTGAACGAACGCTTTGGTTAACGAAATTTCGGTTAACAAATTACTTTCCATAAGAATCTTCAATTCGGTTAACGAACAAAAATTCAATTGACGAAATTCTTACGAAAACATGTCAACATATTTTCGCTTGCTCATCGGCTGGTAGGTTAGTCTGCCAATACAGTAATCGGTTCTAGGGCTTACATTCGTTTCCATTGGAGTAAATATCAAGAAGGTTGTGCTCTAATATTTTTGCAAGTTTTATCTTAAAATTATGAGTCATTTTAATACTTATTTAACATATTGATAATATATGCAGTACAGGGAACTAGTTTGTTGTGTGCCCATCAGATGCGTGAGTCGGTCACAAGGCGTCAGTTGAGTTTTGAAACCAGGGAGAGCATCTATTTTGTTAGTGTCTTGAATATTTTTGCATTTTTCATTGAAATTATTGGTCATTCTGAACTTTAGTTAACATATTGATAATATATAGCGCAGTGCAGTGTTAATTTACAGAAAATAATCTGGAATTACACACAGTGAACTTTAAATTTTATTGGTGAAATTACTGCATCAAGCATGGGTCCCCTGAAAGGTGATTTCTCCTCCATCCCCACTTCCTTCTCTTCTCCCTTCTCCTCCACCCCCACTTTTAATTCCCACCATCATCATCAACCAGGAGCCTTCTACATACACACCTCAAGTACTTTACTGCATTTTTTTTTTTTACTTTGTATGTACTTTTCAGTGAGCTGGAACCAATTACCCAATATCTCATTGAAACAATGGATTCGGTTAACGAAATTTTGGGTTAACGAATGACCTTCTGGAACGAATTGTGTTCGTTAACCGAGGGACCACTGTATAGAGAGATTTTGAGGGGAAAAATGGATTTTACTTTTAAAAAGAGTGGGCTGATTACAGTACTTTTAAGGTGAATGAGATAAAGAAGTGAACTACTGCAAGTGTACACAAGTGAACTTTCTATTTTGTGTAGTGAGTTTTAATGTTGTTTTATTGACGTCTTTCACATTTATTTTCTTACAGGTACAGTATCTTAAATTTTGAAATTCAAAAGTATTACAAAGTGATATGAGTACAGGTATTAAGAAATCATGTACAGTAATACCCCGATTTACGCTGTCAATTGAACCCACGGAGGTCCGCGTAAAACGAGAAACGCTTAAATGGAATAACAGAACATATGGGATTAACTGAAATAGAGACTAGGCCGACTCCCAAACTCCACTTTTTCGGACACAATACCGACACAATACCTATGTTGTAGTAAAAATAACATCTTAATTTTATGATGGTATGCACACACAATTAATATTTAAGAGAAATACAGTCGCCAGGTTAATGTCCATTCAAATAATGGACTCAACTCCCCACCCCCCCCACCCTCTTCCCACGCTCGCTGGCTCCTCCCTCTCTGAGAAATGTTTGGGTGAAAACACTAGATTTTAAGGTATAGTAATAAATAATACCTCAGACTAAAGTTAGGATAATATAATTGACATTGCTGGATTCCTTGCAAGACCAGGAATATTTTGAATATACAGGTCATATATTTTGCACAAAAGATAACATATTTGCTCTGTGTAAACAAAATTCTTGCATTAGATCTAAAATTTGTATGTCTAATGCAAAATCCATGATGTTTACATTAAAAATGATCATCATATTGTAAGAATTCCAGCAATGTAAATTATATACTGGCCGGGTAATTTGTATGAATTTTATGAGCTAAATAAAAAAATTATACTTCACCTGCGTATATGAGTAGAAGCACCGCGTAAAGTGGGAATTCCGGTTCTGGCAGGGTACCGCGCAAATGTAGAAACGCGTAAACCAGAACCGCGTAAAGCGGGGTATTACTGTATAGTACAGTACAGTACTGTATTTATAAAAATACATTTTTAGTTACTGTATTCATATGAATGAAATTTTGACTGAAGTAGACCGTCTTAGGTTCAGTTTTGTTTTCAGACGCTGCATATACTGGCTGGGAACATTTTTTGTGGTGGTTAGGGCCAACACCTCTACAAGGTCATGTGTTGAAAGCTCTCATCTTTATTCTGGTAGCCAACTTCTTCCTCATCAAAGTCTTTTGGTGTGTGTATGCTAAACGGATCTCTCATACACTGTCATTTAGTAAGTATATTTCTATAATTTTTATTTATTTTTTAATTTATTTGGAGTTTGGATATGTGGTAAGAATGGAGGAGACCAGTTGAGCCAAGAGCTGCACAAGTTGGAATGTGGAGGGGAGGGGTGCTAGGGGTAGGGCAAGGATGACATGGGTAGAAGTTGTAAGAAACTATCTCAGACAAGAATCAGATGAGAGAGACTGAACAGCAGGGATAGCTGCCATCAGGTAATAACAGCTAACCTATGCAAGTATGAAAAAATGGCCATAAAGTAATAATGATTTCTTACAATAATTTCTTCCAAGTGAATTCACATACAGTAAGAAAATCGTAATCATTTCTGAATATATTTTTTCCTAGTGTCATATGAATGTATTATTGATATGCTGTGTTTCAAATATTTGTGGGATAGTTAGATATTAAGAGTCACAAGGCAAATAACAGTATGGTTTGTGGGTGAGATTGAGATAATTTATTAACCCTTCGGCCCCAGGTGACGTTCCAGAACGTCCGCCTATTTTTCCGCCATGTTTTTTCTATTATTTAATTTTTTTTATTATTTTTTTGAGAAAAGTTGATTTTTTTTTCACGATTTAACCCTGCAGGGGTGGGGGGTACTGCCAGCAGCACCCTAACCTGGGGCTTAGGGTTAATATGTAAATTGAAACAAAAATATTTCTGGTGCTTTAGATATAGTTTACCAGTAGAAATTTACATTTAGTGCATACTTTTATTGCTTACAATAGATAACAAACCCAGAATAAGAAAGAAGTGAAAGTTTTGGAGTTAAGTTTAGTGTTGAATAGTTATTTGGCCAGGATGAAGTGAGGTAAAAGTTGTGGATATGAGTGTTTGTAAATTAATCATCTGGCCATGGTTGTATTGGGTGCATGTGATGTTAATTGATTTTGCCCAGGTGGAGCCTCGAGAAAAGCGAGGTAAATTATTCAAGGCAGATATTGTATGAGAAGGTAGTTGTGTACTGGTGTTATGTTAAGCCATACTTACTGCCATATATCTTGCTCCAAATTCTACATACTTGACCTTTGTACAGTGGAATGATGACTGTTTATAAACTGTATATGTATAATAGGACAAATATTTTGCTACTGGAGTTGAATTATTTGTTCTCATGTTAACTATAGGTGTACTGTATAACAAATGTACACCAAAAAATTCTTTCTTTTGTAATTGTAACATCAGTTTTTAATTTTAAACATTGGAATAAGAATTGTTTAAATGTTTTGTTGCATGAATATTACTTTAAATATGTCGCTTTTTGTACTTTTGTTGTACAGTACAGGTACTCCTCGACTTACAACATACTCGACTTATGACAACCCGGACATACAACCATCGTGGTTGTATAAAATATTTTTCACATTGCGTATTTTTGAGTCCTGACGTTAGTGATCACGCTGTGCACTGACAAAATTTTCAATTGTAATTCCCTTTAAAATGGCTGGCAAACGTAAAAGTGAGAGTTCTCGTGGTGCTGAGAAGAAAAAGAGACACCCATTTTAGAATTTCTATGTATTAATTTTGCCTTTTCAACTTACGACCAATTCAACTTACGACCAATTCAACTTACGACCTGGTCGTCGGGACGGAACCCTGTCGTAAGTCGAGGAGAGACTGTACTTGGGCCAAGTTTAACAAAAATAGCAAATGTTTGGCATTGACAGTCATGTTTAAAACAATCCTGGTTTAATTCCGAGTTGATTGTCCTCTTAACAGACAGCCTTCGTGTTGTGGAAGACGTGTTGAAGAAGAACACAAGCTCAAAGCCATCAAAGAAGGAATTAACAAGTAAAATTGCAAGTAAGTGTTCATGTTACTTTGTTATTATTTTGTATTGTTTTTTTTCAGACACATTATTACATTGGACGGCCTGGAACAGTGGATTACAGTAAAATGTAGATTTGTCTACTCCCCTCCATCTCCCAATACAATACAACTTCAAAATATTTGAAGCTAACACTTATTCCAGAACATGAAAAATTTAATATAAAGTACAGTACTTTAGTTGTTGTTGTTGTTGCTGTTGTTTTTTTTTTTTTTTTTTTTTTGCAAATTCTGTATACAGTACAGTGATATTGTTACAGTACGGTACTGTACTGTACAGTATAGTCCCGATTTACGCGGATTTCCTTTACTCGGTTGGTCATTTACCCGGCACCTGGCCAGATGTGGCAATTATTAGTTACGCGGTACATTCCATCATTTATGCGGGAAGCGCGTAAATGTACGTTCATGTTATCTGTGTACGTTTTTCCTCCTCTGTACGTTCCTGTCATCTCTGTGTACGTCTTTCCTCCTCTGTATGTTCCTGTCATCTGTGTATGTCTTTCCTCCTCTTTCCTCCTGTCATTTCTGTGTGCGTTTTTCCTCCTCTGTACTTTCCGGTGCGCGCTAGGTTGCCCAGTCAACAAAACATTACCGAGTTCTTCACCCGCCACCCACCACAGCCAGCCTAAGTCAGTGATAGTGAGGATATGGACTTTGAGGGGTTTGACAAGGAGGCCCTGCTAGCCTCTGTGGTGGATAGTGATACAGGTGATACAAGTGATACAGGTGAGGGCCAATAATCTGCCCTCTGCCTCGGAACCAACCCCTCATCCCTGTGTGCCCAGCCATCTCTTCTACTAACGTAAGTGTTAAAAAACCTATTATTATAGATATTTCTCTTAAATATTAATTGTGTGTGTATACCATCATAAAATTAAGATATATTTACTACAACGTACGTATTGTGTCGGAAAAAGGGTAGTCTGGCAGTCGGCCCAGTCTCTATTTCAATTAATCCCATATGTTCTGTTATTTCGTTATTACGGGTTTAATTGACCGCATAAAACGAGACTATACTGTATATTCATAAAAAGTAAATTTTTGGACTGTTAACTTATTCATTGTACAGTACAGTACAGTGAAACTTTGTGAATCAAGTATTTTAACATTAGAAATTACCTACAGTACCTATCCTTGGGGTAATCATATGTTTGTCAGGTAAGACTGGCTGGGTGATTGTCCATAATTTTGAAATACTTATCAGCAGCTAACTAGCACAATGAAATGGTGCAAGTGAGCCAATCAGTGATGCTCTTAGCTTTTATGTCTGAGTGCATCCAATTGGTATGTCAGCCAAGCTGTATACTTGATGTTACATGCAAATTAAGAGTTTAGCACAGGGGTGTGAAACTCATGGCCCGCTGGCCAAATGTGGCCCTTGGGATGGTCAGGTGTGGCCCACGGGATGACGGTAAAATTTATCATCCTGTGAAATTATGAAAGAAATAGATATGATCATGTTTATTTAGTAAAATGAATTTTACATACTTAAGATCAGACAAACCCAAATGAGGTATTCCTGGTAAGCCAGGTAAGGCAATGTGTGAAGCTGTAAACCTCAATCCTGCAAATATGTGATATAGCACTTGTGTTGGCCCTGAAGAGAGTAACTAAAATAAGAATTGGCCCTCAAAAGGTTTTGAGTTTGACACCACTGGTTTAGCATGTAAGGAAAACCCAAATACAGTAACTTTTAAAAATGGAATTTCATGGAATGAAAGAAAGTACAGTGGTCCCTCGGTTAACGAACTCAATCCGTTCCAGCGGGTTGTTTGTTAACCGAAAAGTTCGTTAACCGAAACCATTGTTTCAATGGGTTTTTGGGAAATTGGTTCCAGCTCACCAAAAATTGCCTAAATTCAACAAAAATGGTAGAAAAGTTCACTTACTTTGAGGTGTGTATGTAGAAGGCTCCTGGATGATGATGATGATGATGGGAATTAGAATGGGGGTGGAGGAGAAGTAAGAAGAGAAGGCATTAGGGTGGAAGAGAAGGCACCCCATGGCACCATTTCACCCATAAAATTTTAGTTCTCTTGGTGTATTTTAAGATTATTTTCTTTAAATCAACACTGCACTGCATTATATATTGTCAATATGTAAAATATATTTCAAAATGACCAATAATTTGCTTGGAAACACAGAAAAAAAGCCTTTAGTTGAAGAGAGTCTCAAGCAAGATATTACCTCCACTGAAAACAGAGAGAGACTAACTTCTGTCTGGTGTGTTAACAGGCTGGATGGCACGCCAGAAACTAGTTTCTTTACCTTCAATTATGTTCAATAATTGTTAAAATGACTAAAAAAGTTAATATTAAACTTTTAAAATTATTGAATAGTATAAACTTCTTGATTTTTACTAAAATAGTAAAGAATTTAAGCCCTAGAACCGATTAATGTATTGGCGGACTGATACTAAAGCTGGTTGCCCGGCCAGTGCAAGCGAAAACATGTTGAAGTCGGTTCGTAAGAAATTCGTTAACCGAATTTTTGTTCGTTAACCGAATTGAAGATTCTTATGGAAGGCAGTTCATTAACCGAAATTTCGTTAACCGAGGCGTTCGTTAACCGAGGGATCACTGTACTGTACTGTACTGTCTTGTAACATTATAAATGCCTCTCAGTAACTTGACTGCTCTAAAAAGACAGCTTAGTATGGTACTGTATATATTTTATAAAATCTCCTCCAGTATGTACTGTATTTCTGTATATCTCTGCCAAACAAAATAATTTATTGAATAACATTAATATCTTTGTTCATTGCAAAAATGCAAGAAAACATATTGAAAAAATTTCAGTAATTAAATATGTGATTATCCCCTCCATTATATTTGTATTAAAAAAAATGTATACAGGTAGTATTGAATAAAATTATAATTTTGTCCAGTACATACCAATAGAAGTGACAATATTGTATATCCGTGGTAGGCTGACTCACTGAATAATTTATCAGATATGTATACAATATGTGATAATATCCTGTCTAGCTGATTTGCAACACACTAGAATACTGCTTTATTGTATAAATGATTACTTTTTCAAAAAAAACCACACCAGATATTATTTTTAAATAATTAAGTTTAAATCTTCACATATTCTTGTAACCTGACTCTTTTGTGTTTCTTTGAAATGTATGTCCTATTGTATGTGCTGTAATAAAGAACAAAGCAGTGTTCTTAATTTATCTTCAGAAATGAAATTATAAATCTTATTTGGTTCAGTAACTAAGTTAACTAAGAGTAAAATTGGAGTGGGTTAGCAAGATATAAAGGGAAAATGGGCAAAATTTAAAAATTTCTTCAGTTGTAATATATGCTAACCTGCAAGTAAGATTGTGCTTGTGTATATCTGAAGATCAGTTGTCATTGTAGGAAACAAGTAGTTGTTCTGTACAGCCCTTAATACCTGCACAAACTGGCGAGGCTAGCTGATTGTATACAGTTCAAGGCTCATAGGAACTAAGCATCTCTTATGGATGGGAATAATAGATGTATTGTATATCCCTGGATTGATCATAAATACAGTACAGTACTGTACAATATTTTGGATAAGTAAATTTTTCTTTCTTTTTTTCTTTACAGTCTAGTACTTCAGCAGTAGACCTCTACCAAATAGAAGAGATGGATGCCATCAAGAAATTTTTTGAGAAAAAGAAGGCAGATACTAAGTTTAAGGTTGCTGGTCATGGACGCAGGTAAATTTATCTTTACCCTTTATTATTGATTTTCCAATTTAGCAAACTAGTCAGCTAAATTGAGTAGAATTTAGTTAACTATCTCTAACTCTGCCAAAAAGCTGGGAAACAGTAGTGCTTACTTGCTTGGTCTGTCCTGTGCGTGTGCTGTCTGCACATTCTCTGCTTATGATCATTTTTTGCCCTAAGTGTGCTATGAAATCATGCCAAAAGTATCGCAAAAGTCCCAGAAAGGAAGTTGGTGTGAGTGTTTTAATGGAATCTACCCAATTTAAACAACTGTTCTGCTAAATTGGGAAATATATCATGGAAAAGAATTTTCAAATCGATTTAAGGGAAAACTGGATTTAACAGAAAGGGGAGGCTCGAATTAGTTCATGTGTATATATATATATATATATATATATATATATATATATATATATATATATATATATATATATATATATATATATATATATATATATATATATATATATATATATATATATATATATATATATATATATATATATATATACACAGTTAACCCTCACTTTACGCGGTCCCGCACGTGCTCACATTCCGCGGTACGTGAACCCCATTACGCGGAGAGTGTCCGGCGCGACGCTATTTTTAGATTCGCCCCACCCGCCCGCCTGCCTGCCTGCCTCTCCCTCCTCCCTCCTCCTCCCTCCGCTTGGGCAAGCGGCGCGGTAAGGTTGCGCAGTGTGTGTCTTTGTTGCGTTATCACTGACGTCATATGACGTATCAGACCTGTGATTGGCCATGCATCCCTACCCCCCTCTGCTGCTAGCTGTAATTGGCTTAAAGTATTATGACGTGTCCACCCGGGGGAGGGAGGGAGGGAGGAAAGACGACGCTTGACCTAGCCGCGGCAGTTTCATCCCTCAAGGCCACTCCGTGTAAACGCGCATCCATTGTTCCGTAAAATGGCTTCCGCCGGACCACCACCCCCAGGGAAGCCCTGACAACTGTAAGTGACAGTGATGGTGATTCACCTAGTAATGGTGATTCACCTGAGGGCCAGTAATCTGCCCTCTGCCTCGGAACCAGCCTCCATCCCCGTATGCCGACCCATCTCTTCTACTACCGTAAGTGTTACAACTAATTTTTAGTTTTCTAACCTAACCTTTATTTTTCCTATGTTAACCTTTATCTTTCCTAACCTAACCTCTTCTATATTACTTGTTTTTTCATACCATCATAAAGTTAAGATAAAATTTTTACTACAACATAGTTGTGTGTCGTCAAAAAGTGGAGTTTGGGGATCGGCCTGGACTCCATTTCAATTAATCCCATATGTTATGTTGTTCACTTTACGGGTTCCTCACTTTACGCGGGACCCTCCGGGTTACATTAACCGCGTAAAGTGAGGATTAACTGTATATATATATATATATATATATATATATATATATATATATATATATATATATATATATATATATATATATACATATATCTCATGTAAATCCACAATGAAAAGCGTGGATAAGATAAATCTTGATAAAATCTGCGGGAAAATGGAAACAGCGAATTACCTTAGCTTTAAGTCTTTATTCAAGACATCTTCAGAGGCAACATATATATATATATATATATATATATATATATATATATATATATATATATATATATATATATATATATATATATATATATATATATATATACATACATACATTGTACCCCACTTAACGCGGTCAATTGAACCCAGAGGGTCCCGCGTTAAGTGAAAACCGCGTTAAGTGAATAACAGAACATATGGGATTAATTCCAATAGAACCCAGCCCGACCCCCAAACTCCACTTTTTGACGACAAATAACTATGTTGTAGTAAAAATAACATCTTAATTTTATGATGGTACATGCACACAATTAATACTTAAGAGAAATACAGTCGCCAAGTTAATGTCCATTCAAATAATGGACTCAACTCCCTCCCCCTCTCACACTACAGTACACAGCCAGCTAACAGATGGTCGGTCGGTCCCCTCCCTCCCCCCCCCCACCCCCCACCAACCGTCCCAAGGAGATGTGTGGGATAACCTCAAACTAAAGTTAGGAAAATATAATTGACATTGCTGGATTCCTTGTAAGACCAGGAATATTTTGAATATAAATGTCATATATTTTTCACAAAAGATAACATACTTACTCAGATTAAACATTTTATCTAAAAATTGTATGTTTAATGCAAAAAATATGTTGTTTATATTCAAAATGATCACCAAATTATAAGAATTCCAGCAATGTAAATTATATTCTGGCCGGATAATTTGTATGAATTTTATGAGCTAAAACAAATATCTACAGTTAATAAAAAAAAAAATATATTCTTCAACACTATCTGTCAATCAAAGTACCCCACCTTGCCTCCCCCCCTCTTCCAACCGCGCGGTCAGTCCCAACCCTCCCCCCACCCCCCACCAATCCTCCATTCAAGAGTTTTTAACATTTAGTAATAAATAATACCTCAGATTAAAGTTAGGATAATATAATTGACATTGCTGGATTCCTTGTAAGACCAGGAATATTTTGAATATAAATGTCATATATTTTGGACAAAAGATAACATACTTACTCAGATTAAACATTTTATCTAAAAATTGTATGTTTAATGCAAAAAATATGTTGTTTATATTCAAAATGATCACCAAATTATAAGAATTCCAGCAATGTAAATTATATTCTGACCGGGTAATTTGTATGAATTTTATGAGCTAAAACAAATATCTTCAGTTAAAAAAAAATAATTCTTCACCGGGTAACAGATGGTCGGTCGGTTGGTCCCTCCCTCCCCCCCACCCCCCACCAACCGTCCCAAGGAGATGTGTGGGATAACCACTAAATTTTAATAAATAATACCTCAAACTAAAGTTAGGATAATATAATTGACATTGCTGGATTCCTTGTAAGACCAGGAATATTTTGAATATAAATGTCATATATTTTGGACAAAAGATAACATACTTACTCAGATTAAACATTTTATCTAAAAATTGTATGTTTAATGCAAAAAATATGTTGTTTATATTCAAAATGATCACCAAATTATAAGAATTCCAGCAATGTAAACTATATTCTGGCTGGGTAATTTGTATGAATTTTATGAGCTAAAACAGGCAGTCAGGCAGGGTGGCGGGTGGGGGGTGGTGCGAATCTAAAAATAGCTCTCGAGCCGGACACTCACCGCGTTGCTGTGGAAAAATCCGCGTTAAGTGAAAGTTCAGCTTTGGCAAGGCACCGCGTATATGCGAAAACGCGTTAAGTGAAAGCGCGTTAAGCGGGGTAATACTGTATATATAAATTTTTTTTTTTTCCCAAACCAATTTGGGTTTCCTCTTCTAGTTTTATAATAGGAAACAAAGAAGAGGTTAGTCCTATGTCTATTTTCATATTTAGTTTTATAACTCATGCAGTACATGTATCCCTCATTTAATGTTAATTTACTTAAGGTTAATTCGGTTTCGTGATAAAAAAAATCATTTTATGAGGTGGTCTTGTGATTTTGTAGAAATTTCATTTACCGGTACATGCCAAGGTTGTGTCCGTACATCCTCCAGGTGTTACACAAAGCTGTAGATATTGTCTCTTATCTCTCTGGAGTCATAGAATTTCACTTTTTCCTTTTTTTTTCCTTTTTTTTAATATTGAAAGTCTTATTCAGAAGTGAATGATCACTACCATTGGTTCTCATTTCTATTATTTAAACATTTGGTAGCCTGACAATGGGTGATGGTCCAACACATCTTCGATCTCAGCCATCTAGGAGTGTACCACAGCACCGCCATACTCCTACACACGATGCTCAACGTGCTGGAGCAGCAGCTCTAGCAAGAATGGAACAACAGTCAAAGAAGACAGATGTTAACTGGTACATATTTTAGTTGATTGTTTGTGTTACCAGTGGGTGAGTTATGTGGGTGAGCACATAGCAATCATAGCTCATAGTTGATTATCATAAATGTTGATGTTTTATATTAGATTCTAATCATTATCAGTGTTGACTTTTTTTAAATTATTTATATCAAAGTAAATAAATTGATTAAGATTATCGAATTTTCTTAGAGACTTTCGATAATTTAGATGACAAACCTATTCCCATAACTTTTTTTTTTTAGCCCAACATCCATGTGTGTTTGTCTTCTTACTTTTCAACACAAAATTATTCGTTCTTTCTAGCCTGTAGCTCCTGGCAATGTGCAAACTGTTTAGGGAGTCTAGGACTCGAGAGACAATCATCCACTGGCAGCTGGGGGCTGACCTAATGATCACTTTTCCATCCATGTGACAGTTATTGCCCTAAAATGGGAGATTGGTCGATGGTCTGTAAAATCGGCTGTGACTACCTAGCCAGTTCACAATCATGCTATCTACTATAGCCAGCTTTATTCAGAGTCAGTCAGTGATTTTGGATTCAACCCCTAGCCATTTATCAAGAGGAGTAGACATCTTTATCTCAGCTCTGCCTATTTAGAGGACTGGTTTCTCTCGGCTGAATAAAATCATTTGACATTAGCTAGAATAAAATACCAAAGAGCTACTTTGCCCTCTAAAGGGTTAATTGAGATAGGTTCTAAAGAACTGATGACATACAGTAGTCCTCGGTTAACGAACACAATTTGTTCCACAGAGTCGTTCGTTAACCGAATCCATTATTTCATTGGGATATTGGGTAATTGGTTCCAGCTCACAGAAAAGTACATACAAAGTAAAGCCAAAAAATGCATATAGTCAGAAACACTCCTAAAATTCCCCTAAATCGCCCTTAAATCACCATATATATTCGTACATATACAGTAGAACTCTTAAATCACTACTGTAATGTGATACAGGTGATTAATTTTTATCTCTTTGCAAAATATATGACATTTATATTCAAATTATTTGCTGTCTTGCAAGGATTCCAGCAATGCAAATTATATTCTCCTGACTTTAGTTTGAGATATCATACAAAATAAAAACTGTAAGCCTAAAACCCTGGCTGGGCAGATGGGGGAGAGGGAGGGAGGGGGAGGTGAGGTGATATGTTTGACAGTTGGTGCCGAAGGTCTGATGTGTGTTTATTTATCAATCCTTATGAGTGACTAAGTTTTCTCTTATAAAATGCCAATGAAATGACCTGGGAGATTATACTTTACATTGCTGGGATTCTTGTAAGATAGTGATTAATTTGAATATAAACAAGCTATAATTTTTTTTTTTTTTTTTTTTTTTTTTTTTTTATTGGGCACCCCTCTACATCCTTGTGTAAGGTGAAGCGCAGAAGCATTTACAGCGCCCAACAGGGAAGCATGCTAAATTCATGCTTGCCTTTATGTCTCACGAGTTATGGGCATAGAAGCCTGAAGAGTCAGTGGTTTATGTCATCAAGTTATTGGAAGCTCCAACAACTTGTCCCTGAATACGAATTCGCAACTTTCGACTTACAACAGGTACCTACTTTACTGCTAGGTGAACAGGGACTAATGGGGGCTGGGAAGTAAGTCCAAACAACTTCCGCCGGCCCGGGAATCGAACCCGTGACATCTCGCTTGCGAGGCAAAAACAGTACCGCTTCTACCACCGGTCCCCCACAAGCTATAATTTGCACTAAACATAAGAATTTTAGTACCGTAATCATTTAGTACATGTACAGTACAGGTTTGCACTTAGGTCATTTATTTCTTTTACGTTTCTTTTAGTATGGTGTGTGCATGTAAATGAATAAAAATAAATGAAGAAATTTATGTAAATCTACCCAAAAATACAGTTGAAAAAACTGTACATTATTAAAATGTACTAAACTAATATACTAAAATTTTTATTTCTTGTGCAGAATATATGATGTTTATATTAAAATTATTCACTGTCTTGCAAGGATTCCAGCAATGCAAACTTTAGTCTGTGATATTATATAAGATAAAAAACTTAAAGCCTACTGTATAACCACCAAACCCTGACTGGGAGGAGGGGAGGTGACAGTGACATGTTTGACAGTTGGTGCTGAATGTCTAGTGAAGTATTTATTTATTTATTTATTTATGTCCTTTAGATTGAGTTTTAGTTTTTTGCTTATAAAATGTCATGGAAGTGACTGGGGAGAATATAATTTACATTGCTGGAATTCTTATAAGATAGTGATTAATTTGATTGTAAACATGCTATAGTTTGCACTCGACAAAAATTTTAGTAATCATTTTGTACATTATTTTGATTACATGTTCAGTACAGCTTTGCCCTTAGGACAGTGTGTGCATGTAAATGAGTTTCAATAAATGAATAAAGTTACCCGGTACATAAATCAAGCCAAAAATATTAGTTGAAAAACTTTATGTAGGCAGAGCTTGGATGGCTAAATATTAGAATGACCAATAATTTTAATACAGTATAAAAAATGCAAAAATATTCAAGAACACAACCTTCTTGATATTTACTCCACTGGAAACGAATGTAAACATAGAACAGATTACTGTATTGGCGGATTAGCCGATCGGCTGATGCTCACAACAAAACGTGTTTGTCGTAAGGATTTTGTTAATCGAAGTTTTGTTCGTTAACCGAATTGAAGATCCTTATGGGAGATAATTCGTAAACCGAAATTTTGTTAATTGAACCGTTCGTTAACTGAGGGACCACTGTATTTTGTCCACACCCATATGTTGATAATCAGATGCAAAAAATATTATCTATTTTATTAATTCAACATAAATAATTTGTTGTCAATTTTGTTTGTGCTATGGCTTAAATAGTGTTGCAGAAATTCTCATTTTTAAAGAGTGTTTGTATGTGCATGTTTACGTTAATGAGCTTACCAATGCATACATGCATGATTCCTTTAGAAGTGAAATGAAGCTCATTTATTGATGATTAATAGATACTTATCATACAGGTTGTACCTCTCTAGTCCGGCATTCTGTGGTCCGGAAACTCCCGTGGTCCGGAACAATTTTAGTGTGTCCAATAGGTAGATAGGCAGCTTTTTTTTTTTTCTTTTTTTTTTTTTTACTTATCTGAATTATTATTATTATTACAGGAGTATTAAATTTTTGCCCCTCAGGCCCCAATGTGGTCAGTGACCTATGCCGGGTGGGCTAATCCCTTAAAAAATAAAGCCGCAGGAAATTAAGGGTTTGTTTACATCCGGCAGTTCGGCTGCTCTCTCTCTCTCTCTCTCTCTCTCTCTCTCTCTCTCTCTCTCTCTCTCTCTCTCTCTCTCTCTCTCTCTCTCTCTCTCTGCTTGTCTATACAGAGTACAACATTTAACCCTTCAATATATATGAGCAGTAAATAAGTGTTGCTTTCATATTCTTATGTAGAGTAATGACGATATGTTTTCACATGTGCGCACTTACATACGCGCAGTCTCACTTTTTTTTTACCATTAATGGTTAGCTACTTATATTGTTCCATTTATTAACATTAAATAACATTACAGGTACTTCAAACAACCATATTAATTTTTTTACATTAATTTTACCACAGCTAAAATCAGGGTCTTATTTTCTTCAGTTTTATATGTAGAACCAATCAGTCACTGGTTTTGTATGCTTTAACATAAACAATGCCGGCAGCCGTCTCATCTCCTCTAATATTCCACGTATTATTAATAAATTGTATTTTAATTTTGCACACACAAACATTAATTCAATAAAAACAAATTCAGAAACATTAATTAAAATATATATGAACAGTAAATAAGTGTTGCTTTCATATTCTTATGTAAAGTAATGACGATATGTTTTCACATGTGCCCATGCGCACTTACATACGCGATCTCTCTTATTTCTTTACCATTATCGTTAGCTACTTCTATTGTTCCATTTATTAACATTAAATAACATTGTACTTAAAACAACCATATTAATTTTACTACAGCTACAGCCAAGGTCTTATTTTCTTCAGTTTTATATGTAGAACCAGTCAGTCACTGGTTTTGTATGCTTTAACATAAACAATGCCGGCAGCTGTTTTGTAATCAACGAAAACAATGCTGTGTCATTTCCTCGTGTGTTTTAATATTCTACGTATTATTAATGAATTGTATTGCTCATTTTGCACACATAAACATTAATTCAATAGAAAAGTCATTCAGTAATAAACAATAATGAATCTTTTGTACATAAGAGAAATGACGCTGTTTACACGATTATGCACGTCGTCTGCACATTGGCGGGCCGTTCAAACCCGTCGAAATTCAAGTTTCCGCCGTCAAAATTTTTATTTATTTATTTTTTTGTGTGTTCCAATAAAATACGTTAACAAATAAAAACTCGCGAAATTTGAGAAGCTACTATACGACATTTACCCCTTCAATATGTCTTCAAAGAGACCATGATGCAGAGAAAGTGGTGCTAGCGCTTCCAAGCATAAGCACAAGTCACTATCCATCCAGGAAAAGGGTGAATTTCCATGGTCCTGCACCTGTCAGGTCCCGAGGTTGCCGGACTAGAGAGGTAAAACCTGTACTAGTTTAAGAGAGAGTAAAACAAATTGTGGTGGGGGGGGGGGGAATACTGGAGAAGCCCTGAAATTTGTAAACAGGCATCATTTGGTATCCCCGTCCCCGAACTTTTTAATACACTCTGTATTGAAAATTATGATTTTAACTTTTTGTATCGACTGTTAGAAAAATTTGGGGATATAAGATGAAACAAATATATAGAGGTTGTGCAAAGCAAAATACAGTACTATGTTAAAAATAAGCCAAGTATCGATATAATATTGTACAATCCAAAATTGTAGATTGTAAAATGTTTTTGTTTATTTTATTAACACAGAATTATCATTGAGAAAGTCTTTTTCTTTATCTCAGGTCCCTACAAGCCATTAAGGCTCAGGCACGACGTGAACTTGAAGCTGAGCAAAAAGCTTTGGAACAAATGACTCTAAGTGGACAAGATATACCACCAGGGCCTAAAGAAGTTAACCTAGATGGTGCCCCCATGCTGGCTGTCCAGGGGGTCTTCTTTTATTGTTCACTCCTTGGTAGGTCACTGTTCCTTACTCATATTTTTTAGGCCAATTAATGCACAAGACTTTGACACTAACATAAAACAGTTCTTCAGTTGTTGGATTGAGTGAGCTTTTTCTCCTTGTTGGGAATCCAAGGTATCTCTTTTGTTGACCACTCCTTTTATAGTCACCATCTCATATATCTTGTCCATTTCAGATTTCCTTATTTTGGCATACTGTATTCCTTTGTACTTAACCCTTAAGCCCCGGGTTATGGTGCTGCTGGCAGTACCCCCCCCTCCTTCCCCCGCGGGGTTAAATCGAGAAAAAAATATACTTTTCCAAAAATAATAAAAAAAAAAAAATGCGGGAAAATAGGCAGACGTTCTAGAACGTCACCCGGGGCGCGCTAGTCGGATGTTTGGGAATGTCACCCGGGGCCTAAGGGTTAATCAGGAATGATATATGCTGGAGTATACTATTTGAAAAGTTTGGTAAATGAATGACAGTTCACAAGCATGTCTTTATTTCTCTTATTTGCTTTTCACTGTTGTTTAAGTCTTGGATTTTAGAATATGGATGATTAATCTAGATATGGTACAGTCTCGTTCAAAATTCTTCGAACACTGCTGGCAACTCAAATTAACAGTATATACCGGCAGAAAAGTATAATATAATACAAAACAACAAAGCCCAACCATTAATTAAGTAACGGGGAACTAGTAACCAATCACCGATCACTTTTACATTCATTCATAATTTTTACTACGTACTGTAGTAAACAAACGGCCTTGAGTTGCCAGCTGTCTCCAGCAGTGTTCGAAGTATCTTGAACGAGACTGTACATGACTAGTACTCGTGAACCAATTACAGGGTAGTTGTTAGGCATGTTTACCTAAAGAGTGAGTAGTTACACAGTAATTGGAGCCTTTTCTATGTCCTCCCTCATATTAACTGGATTTAATATTCATGAGTCATGAATTATAAAATTATAAAATTGGAGATTGATCCTGAAATCTCATTTATAACTAAATCTAAATAGAATTACTTAGGTCCCACCATCCTCCTTTGGCCTTCTTCAGAGGTCAGAGGGTAATGAGGATGGTCTTGCATTTTACTGGAAACCGTTATTTGACTAAAAGTACTGTTGCCTTGATAGAAATTAATTGAGTAAAAGTAGAAGCAATCTTTCTTCATGTTACTTCAAGTAAAAGTAAAAAATAAAACATTTATAAAGTATTAAAGTAGAGTAAAAATATTAATGCAGTAAAGCTGTATAAGAAATAAGACTTAGTACAGTAATGCAGGGCCAATATTGTACTCAACAAACTATAAATAACTCTGATTTATCACTCTGCTGCCCATTGGCAAATAATCCTAATACAGCACTGTAATAACAATTCATAGCATTATTTGCTTAAAGAAAACCAAACACCAACAATTATATATTTGGTTTGTATACTGTATTGCATTATATACCGTACTATTAATATAACTTTACCCAAAGCTGATTATCAAAGTTTTGGTTACTTATTGTAGCCTTTTTGGGGTTGAATCCTCATGGAAAATTGTTTCTCATGAACTGTGCAACAGCCAAAGTTACAGATTACAGATTTTGACCAACTGCTGATGGTTGAAATAGCCCCAGCTACTCTATGTTAGTGGTTCCCATGCTTCTATTCTCCCAACTTTTGCTGAGCAAATTCTTGACTCATGCTATCCAGCCTTGGTTATAAAATGAGATTTCACAATATACTCCTCATCATTTTGTGTCTCCTCAGGCCCTGAGGTGGCAACATACGATGAAATCAAGAGACAGATACGTGAATTCCTTTATGCTCAGGTGGAGGAAGATAAGGCCATCTCCTCCTGCCTCATCATCCACACTTGTAATAAGAATAAAGAAAAGGTTTGCAGTTCTGTATTGTTATGTTGGTAACGATGAAAACTAAATAAATTTTTAAAATCTTTGTTGTCCTACAATTCTCATACTTAAAGCAAGATTTTTTCTTTTATAAATTATATAAGTTTTCCGGCCATAAGTGACAGATTTTAATTTATTTTTAATTTACCTGTAGTTATAAATACTATTATCAATTTTTGTATATAGGCAATGTTTGCAGACAAGTGTTTGTACTCAATCTGATAGTGTTTGTTTTTATAGTTCATTGTTGAAATAAATATTTAAATAATTTATATTCTACACTAGAGTACAGTGTGTGTGTACACAACAGAATTTTAGGTCTGAAATATTTTTGTTTCAGATCAATTACTAGATATTAATTCATTGTAATGTAAGTTTAATTATTATCATGTATCACTGTGTTTCAGATTAGCATTTGTGTTGAAACTTTGTGCAAGTATATTGAAAACATTGTAACTAACCCCACTGAAGAGAAGTTCCACAAGATCAGAATGTCAAACAAAGCTTACCAAGAGAGGATCCTTCCTATTGAGGGTACAAAGGAGTTCTTGGAGGCTGCTGGGTTTACAGAACAGGAGCTGCCATTCAATGATAGTGCCGAAAAATTTTGGGTAAGTTTAATGAGTGGTGCAGTGCATGCTGTGATTTGTATGTTTACTAGACAGTACAATGAAAGAATTATTAGAAGCAAAAGGGATGGGTATCCAGGAAGCAGCTGAGCACATGAATTATGAGAACATATGCTGTTAAGTGGTTTATGGAGGATGTCTTTGCAGTTATGGTAAATGTAAGTAAAGGGGGGATTCTGTTTTTGCACTTGTTTTAAGCCACCTTGCAGCATAGTAGAGGGCTTTCAATCAGATTTCAGATTTGCCCCCGAGGGGGCTAGTTTATTGGGCACCCCCTTACATCCTGTGCAAGGTGAAGCGCAGAAGCGTTTACAGCGCCCAACAGGGAAGTATGAAAAGTTAATACTTGCCTTTATGACTCGTACATTAAGGGCGTAAAAGCCTGAAGGGTCATAGGTTTTGTTAAGTTACATAAAGTGAGAGAATGATGAGAGTGTGGGGGGAAAGTTCCCGGTACATTTTATCTGTTTATGGCAAAGAGTGGCAGGTCCCTAATAATGTCAAATGCCAGGCCTGTGACTAGGAGGAGGGATATCTGGTCTGGGAGGGAAGAGGTGTTGGTAACGGCTGGGGACCTATAGGAGGAGGTCATAGGGCAAGTGAGGATGTAGTGAGAAGGGCTTTCAATGATTTGAACAAAATAAAAGAAAACAGGGGTAAATTTCAAACCATACTGACACCTATTTATACAATCCATATTTACCTATTTTCAGGTTTCATTTTTGGCTATATTTTGTTAGTGTAATCTTTGATTGCATAACATCTAAAATGTTTAATTCATACAATTTGTTTTAAGTGATGAAGAAGTATGTCTCCTTTATGGGTTTGCTTTCCGCCTCTATATTTGAGTCCTCCTTCTGTTGCAAATCCTTTATATATTTTGGGATTATTCATTGAGTTGATTTTATTTCTATGGAAGTAAACATGTGTCTAGTTACAATGAACTTTTTTCCCCAAGGTGTTTCCTGAGGATAATCTGAGCGATGTAGCTGCTCTGGAACAATTGCGAGATGCTCTTGTGAGTGCTGAGCCGGTACGCCCACAGCTTGATCGCAGCCTTACCATCCTTCTTCCTGCTGAAGCGGCCACACACATAGACTTGCCAGCAGAATTTTTCAACTTGACTGCCGATGAATTGAAACGTGAAATGCAGAACAGGTATGGTATGTGATTTTTTTACATTGAGAGTAGAGGATAATGAAATGAGGCCAGTTATTGGGAATTACCATGGTGAAACCAAGAAGATAGAAGAAAGAAATGAAGGGGTAAAGGTTTTAAGAATGAAATGGATGATAATCTCCCGAGAGACAGTTCTGCTCTATCTTTCTGCTTAATAGAAGACAAATTTCAGTTATGTTCATATTTTTCTATACAGTCAACCCTCACTTTCCGCGTTTAATGTAACCCACAGGGTACCGCGGAAAGTGAGAAACGCGTAAAGTGAATAACATAACATATGGGATTAAATGAAATAGAGACCAGCTGACCCCCAAACTCCACTTTTTCCAACACAATACCTATGTTCTAGTAAAAATAACATCTTAATTTTATGATGGTACATGCACACAATTAATACTTAAGAGAAATAGAAATACAGTACGTAGATTAATGTCCATTCAAATAATGGACTCAAACTCCTCCCCACTTCTCAAACTACACTCCCTAGCTCTTCCCTCTCTGAGAATTTTGGGAAAATAACAGGTATAATAAATGTGCACTCAAACTAATATTGGGATGTGCATAATTATTGGATTCTGTATAAGACCCAGGAATATTTTTGAATATAAATGTCATATATTATTTTTGCCACAAAAGTATAACATATTTACTCTAAAGTACATTTATATCAAGTTACTGTATGTCTAATGCAAAATCTATGATGTTTATTTCAAAATGATCAAGTGTAAAATTCCAGCAATGTAAATTATATTCTGGCCGGATAATTTGTATGAATTTTATGAGCTAAATAAAAAAATTATACTTCACCCGTGTAAAGGGGTACACCCACCGCGGAATGTGAGCATCCTGGGTTCTGGCAGGGCACCGTGGAAACTCTGGAAACTCGGAATGTGGGACCGCGTAAAGTGAGGGTTGACTGTACAAGAGACATGACCCTATAACCTGGGGAGGTTGTCATTTAGAGTACTTTGGTTTGCAGTGAGCTGGTTACTTGCCTTGTCTTGTCAGTCCTGTTGTCAGGGATGTATCTTCTATTTTTAACTTCAAGGTGAATAAACAATAAAGATTGAAGACACTGTAAATTAGAGGACAAATCCTATTGCAATTCAGGGCTTTCCTGTACAGCTCCTCCCCGACTTATGACGGGGTTAGGGACCCAAATCCAGTTCGTAAGTCGAAAATGCTTAATACATAGAAAATCTAAAATGGGTGTCTCTTTTTCTTCTCGGCACCAAAAAACTCTTACTTTCAAGCTCGCCAGCCATTTTAAAGTGAATTACAAACGAAAATTTTGTCAGTACACAGCGCAATCATTGACGTTGGGACTCGAAAATACGTAATTTGACAAAATTTTGGTACGACTGAGGCTGTCGTACGTCCGGGTGGTCGTAAGTCGAGTAGGTCGTAAGTCGGGGAGGAGTTGTATTGACTGTGCCTGAATTTGTACTGTATTTCCACCAACATGAGCATAAGCTAAGCATACGGCACAATGGCATGAAAACACAAATGCTGATTTATAACTATACAGGAGTCTGACTTGAATTAAGTGTACTGTATATTTGGGGAGTGAACATATGCTTGGAGGCAGGAGGCTGTAACTGCGTCACCAGCCACCCGCACTCCCTCCCCTCAATGTGAAGTCACAGCAAACACACACATGCACATCTTGGAGTCAGCTGGGTGACCCCAGTACAGCCTGACTGTACTGTCATGTTGCCCACAGGATGGTTTGAGTGTTTATATACATAAAGTATGTGCTATTGTATTTTATGATATGCTATGTATCAATTTTTTTGTTTATAGCCAACACCTTCCACCAGCCAAAAAGCCTGGCCTGCTTGTAAACAAAGTGTTTACAGTGCCACTGGTGGCAGACACGCAAACGAATGACTTTGGTTGCATTTGGATTGTTGGACTAAATTAATTTTTTTACTGAACGGGACAAAGGGTTCAAAATTTGGATACTTGGAAGATTCGGATAGATGGAATTTGGGTAAAAGGAATTGCACTAGTACAGTACTGTACTGTAATATTGCATTGAAAATTTATGGGGTAAGGAAAAATGACTACTGATATAATACCATATCAACTGTGTATGGCAGATGATAATGGAAGTGCGATGCATAGTGGGATCATGCGTGATAAAATTATAGATTGAAGCACAAATCGTTCATATTTACCACAACTTTTTAAAAAGTTCTCGGAACCATTAATTTTATATTTATACACCTGATGCTTCACTTATAGGTGTAATATTTTATTTCTATCAATTTCAGAGCAACTGCTGTTGAGAGAAGTCAGATGTTATTAACAAAAGCCATGAGAGAGCGACAGGAGTTAAGGGAGATGAGAAAATATAGGTTTTCCCTTATTCGGTAAGAAACATATTTTGGCACTAATACTTTGTGATTTGATCTCATTGTTTTGATATATTGTCTTGAATGTTTTTAATATGTAATTTCTTTCAATTTTTTTTTGTCTTACACCAAGAAATATCATTTAGTTTTGTGCATGGTTGTTAAATATACTATACCTGTACCTGTATTACCAAAATCTGATGATGATTTTAGGAAAGGGAATGAGTATTTAGAGAAGCAGTTAACTTTTGGGACATAATGATGGTTATGTTAGGAAAATGTTGAATATTAATCTCGTCAGAGAACAGATATATTTTAATATTTCTATGTACAAATTGTTGTTATAATCCTGATTGCAGCTTACTTGAGTCACTATGTTACCACCTCATTGACAGATATATGCAGAGGTAAATGTACTGTATTCTCAGATAAATTTTGTTTCTCAGATAATGCCTCTACTACATTAAATAATTATTTTAAAAAGATCAAATAACTTATACAGTTGTGGTTATGTGCCAGTCAGGTCACATGGAACCTGAATGGAGTATACAGTTTCGATATGAAGGTAATCATTTGAAGAGAAAATTATTAGAATCCTCTCAACCACTAAGAACCAAAATAAGGTGTCCCGACTAGAGATGTACCGACACCATGATTTTGGCCAATTCTGATACCAAAATACACAAATGCAATAATAATGTTAATACACAATACTGGTACACTATTTCAATGATACCACAAACTTTAAAAATAAAAAATATAATTTGATGCAATACAAGTACATGTACTGTATATAAAAATTAATTACTACTGTCCTGTACGTATGTACAGTACAGTAGTAATTAATTTTGCTTTAATATTTGTAAAGTGTGTTTAACACTACAGTATTAGTTTCAAAAGTGAGTAACAAAGCCCTTATATGTTGGAATTATATTCCAACATTCCCCTATTATTTATTTAATTTAGACGAGTGTGGGATTGTCCTAAACAAGTTTCCTGTAACTCATAGTCTGGAAACTCTTCAGTGTTTCCACATTTTGAAATTCGATTTTTTTGATCGAATGTATATGTACGTATATATATAATGATTTAAGGGTGATTTAGGGGAATTTTGGGGGTGTTTCTGACTTTATGCATTTTGGGCTTTACTTTGTATGTACTTTTCTGTGAGCTGGAACCAATTACCCAATATCCCATTGAAATAATGGATTCGGTTAACGAACGACTCTGTGGAACGAACTGTGTTCGTTAACCGAGGGACCACTGTATATATATATAAAATTAAATTCTTCCAGAATAACACAAAAACACCAAATTTGCACCTCGGAATCCATAGTTGGCGAGTAATTTTCATTGGAAAAAAAATTAATTAAAATCTTCCAAGCATCATTACGATGACTAATTACCCCGCAATTGAATCGTGGACCATAGATTTGTTATCAGCATGTTCAGAATTACCTATACCCTCTGTACTGAGATTTTCTACAAAATCCAATTTTGGGCCAAAACTGCAGAAAATGTAAGCCATAGTAATTTTTTGATCAAAATATACCTTTCTCTTGGAATTTTAATTTCTCATTAAGTACTTCCAGAAAAAAAACCCTAAAGATATCCTGATATATCTGTATCGGTGGAATTTTGACCGATACTGGTGTTACTTTGTTTCAGTGTTTTCACAGTCAAGGAAATTAACTTATTTTATGTAAAAAGTTTTGCAGGTGGGGGTTTGAGCTTTATTATTTGTTATTTTATTTTAAGATGGAAAAGTCCTAATAACGTTGAACATGATGTCTTGTTATAATCCCTTTAAAGACCATAATAGTTCAGTGAAATTTGTTCCGTATTTTAAAAGATTCATTTACGGTATCTTTCAGGGTGCGGTTTCCAGATGGTCTTATTCTCCAAGGAACTTTTGGAGTGCATGAGAAAGTTGAGGAAGTAATGAAATTTATCAGGGAATGCCTTGTCAATGACTGGCGCCCATTCTTCCTTTCCCTAAGTGGAGGTGGAAAGGTCAATATTAAGTTTTATCTTATCTACAAATTTATATATGTTATCAACTTATCATTTGTGTGTGAAGTATGTCCTCATTTTTAGTCTCATTAGTTTATCACATTCTTAACCCCTTTCAGCATTTGAGGGACAGTTCTAGTTTACCACCTGATGTTAACATGTTTTACATGTGATCACATTTTGTTCAAGCTTGGTTCCAAAGCTATCTGAAGAGCTACTTTCCATTAACACCCAGATCTTTCACTCCTTGAAATAAAATGGTGCTCTATAGGTGTTAATGTTGTTGTTAGTTTTTTTTTTTTTTTAATTAAACTCCATTTGGCCTGTTTGAAAATTTCCTCCCAAATACCCTAACTTAGATCGCCCTTCCTGTGAGATATCAGTCTATTACTTCCCAGGAAGAAGTTGAGAAACATTTCTCTGGGATTATAGGATCAGTCCCCCACATGACTTCAATTGTTCACCAATAGTTTATGAATAACAAAGGTTTGCTTCACAACTGTAAAATTAAATTCTTAAAAACTACATTATCATCATCATCATCATCATCATCATCATGTGTTTTAAGTTCCTTATCCAAAGATATTTCATAGGATTGTGCTGTCTGTTTGTGGTAGTTACTCATGTAGCTTTCCCAGTGTGAATGTTCTGCTGAAGACTCAACTTATCTTTTAAATATATGATGATTTTAGCAGATTTGCACCTACAAACCCTGCTGGATTAGTGTTAATTCCAAATGGATTTCAGCTGCAAAAAAAACTAATTTCTCCTGATGATTAACTAGTCCCATGTGTTTTCTTGTTTGATGGTCAGATTTAACCGAGGTTTTACTTAATAGGTTTCATTTCAAATACCTGTAGTAATTTGAATTTTGTGACAATTCTGGGTGTTTAGTTTAGGCCATAATTTCAAGTAATTTTAGTATATATTGTTATTCATTAGCATTGATGTCACACAGAATTACGACTTGTTCGGCAGTAGTGTTAAACTTCAGGACTAAACTTGAGACACTGAAATTATCTGGACTGAAATAAATATTGTATAAGTGAAATAACATTTGCTCTTGTTTATTTATATGTACTGTGGATGTTGACTTTGATATTATGTGTTAAGATGAAAATATAATAGGAAATATTTATTCAGCACAGAGCTTGAAAATGCAGTCAGAAAAAGATAGTCATATTTCACTAAATAATGCTCATAGTCTTTCTTTTCATTTTTAAGTACCGGTATATATTTTTTTCATGTTGCTTTACTATTCCAGGTAATATGTATGAAGATGGGTGTTATATTTATTAAGAGGTAACTGTCAGCACTGTATATGTTTCTGTTCCATGTGGACTGCTGATTTTTTATATTATCATTAACCCCAGATAAATTCACCAATAACAGATCATTTCAAATACCTACTACATAAAGGAATTCTATTTTATACTGTACATTTTACGTTTGCTCCTATTATCCAAGTCAATGCTGACTTTAGTAAGTACAGTACTACTGTACTAAAGGAACGTTTTCTCTTTACTTGATAGTTTACTTTGTACAGTACAGGCAGTCCCTAAGTTGCGATCATCTGACTTACAATCATCTGCATTTATGAGTACATTGCGAAAATTTAGAATTGAAAATCCATTTTTTACAATATTTTCATTATTCTATACAGTAAGTCCTCGTTTAACGTTGCCCCCGACAACGTTGTTTCATTATAACGTCGCTACACTTTAGATACCCATGATTCGGGCAAGGTCCCGCCCATTCGATATAACGTCGTCACTGACTACTTTGTGCGGCGCATCACGCTCTCTCGCCCAGTCAGAGCAGAAGCAGGAGCCACCCTCCGGGTCTCAGTGACTCGCCAATCGCCACCCTCCTCCTCTCCCACCCTCCTCTACTCCCACCCTCCTCCTCCTCTCCACTACCCACCACACACTCGCTCCTCCTCAGCCCATCAGTGAGTACAATACAAAATGATTTAGTTTATTTATCTTTTTGGATGTATAATATATACTATTTTCTATAAAAATTCCATTGAATTTATGTACAGTAATGTATTTTTGGGGCAAAGGGAGTTTGGGGAACGTAACTAGCGTATTTTATCTATTTCTTATACGTAAGGAAAATTTATTCCATTAACGTCGTGGTTTTCAGGAACGGTACCACGACGTTAAGCGAGGACTTACTGTATTGTTTAATATCACTTTAATTTCAGTATTTACGTTATTTGTTATGTATGGGGTATTAATGTTGTCTTGTAGGGGCAGGGTTGTGCTTTAACTTAACCCAAACTATGGAATTAACACTGGTCTGACTTACAAACAAATTGACTTACGATCAGGGTCCAAGAATGTATCCCTGTCGTAAGTCAGGGACTGCTTGTACTGTACTTGGATTTGTTGAATCATTATTATTTATCTTAATGTTATGAGCTTAAAATTCCTCCTTTAAATGTATGCTTTTGTATAGTCAAGCATTATTTGATAGCATAGTTCTTCAGGTATCATTTCCCAACATAATGAATAATATTGGATCATTGTGATAACAGTGCAGGTCTTTTTAGAGCGCCTGCACAAATATTCAAGTTCATCAATCAGTAGTAGCATCACTCAGAGTACTGTACAGTGCTGCCCAAAATTTAAATTCATTCCATTGGTTTTCAGCATCAGTGTTTTGAAGTCATCCCTCAGCCAAAAGTGGGGAAGCTTATTGTTTTACTCTGCATTTTTCTTTGCAAGGTTGACACACCACTTGGTTAATCCTGGTGAAAATTTGCTTGCTTGTACATTTTGATTAAATAATGTGCATATGAGACACATTTATGTTCTTGGACTTGGGTTCTCCCAGAAAAGAAAAAAAATTATATTTTTGCGGTCGGTTGAGAGGAACTTCTGTATTTGCTTGCAGATATGACCTATTGTCATCCAAATGAGCCTACAGTGATCTACAAGATTCTGGATTTACACTAACACAACTTGACTTAATGTGTGCAATCGTTCACTAACACCTGGACATTTATACAGAAAATATCATGTTGCAAAAATGGGGAGTAAATTTTATTGGCCACACGCCAAACCCTATTTTCATGTTGAGAAATTATACATTTGCAACAAGCATTGCTGTACTGTACCACACATGTTTGCTGAACACATTGACATAATCAAATGGTGTTTTATTTCTGGAAAAGACTGTGGTTCCAGTGCTGTATTTGTTCCTGATTTTTTGCTCTATTTTATTATAAACTTCCCAGTCCCCTATTTTTAACATAATATATACAGTATACCAAAATTATGTTGACTGCCAAAGATAATCCTGCGGCTTTACTTTCTTTACTTTTCAAGAATTTTATTATACTTGTTCTGCATTTTTTTTATACTACTGGTATAAGAGAAATATTGCTATATTTTTATAACTGTATATCTGTTAGGTGTGCCTTGTGAGTTGTTCACTCCTGCAGACAATTATCAGGAATTAACCTAAACAGCATTGTTGTTTATCACTAGACTTGATCAATATCCCTTATCCCACCATAATTCACAAATTCACAGTACAGTACAGTAGTTGATCTTAGTTTTAAGCAGTAAGTGCACACATGTCATATCAGAATACCAACCCTCAAGTTTTGGACATTTTTGTAGCTACTAAGCAGTACTGTATTTCCTGTGTAAAATATTTACTGTACCAGGTAATCCTTGCTGACTACTTTTAAGGATAGGTGCAAGGTCTGACATAATTACCATGTATTGTTTCCTTGAAGTAGTTGTTCTGTACTCACAGGGTTAAGTTACATTTACTTTTTTTCTCATTTTCTCATCCAGATTGAACATAGATGTATACACACCACGAACATTACATATATTAGATATAGTATACAGGTACTGTACATACTTGTACACACCCAGACACAAAAGTGATTCGAGCATCAATGATTATTTCTTGCAAAGTAAATAATCCACCCTTTTATCTCTACTATGTGATATTAGAATATATCAGGTATATGCTTAGAAATGGCCTCAAAATCAAGATAAGAAATTAAAATTAATTACATATAAAGCTTCATACATGAAGTGCAGAGGAAAAAGCAGTGTTTTATCTCAGTAATTTTAGTTACAGCAGCCTTCACACTATCCTAAATCTCATAGTACATGTCGAAAGTTCTCTATTTTGCTTTGACTGTTGCTTAATTAAGAATTGCAGAAGCTACTGAAACTGAAAATATGGCACTGAAAAGATTGAGGATTGCTGTGGAAAGTGAACATATGAGAATCGTAAAGGGAGGGATACAGTAAAAGGTAGATATAATTACAGTTTATGGAAATAATTGGAAATTGTTTGTGAAGAATGTTTTATGGTTAAGACTAATAAATGTGTTTACCACCATTCAGAGCTTCAAATAAAAGAAATGAAAAATCAGGTATTAGAGAGAATATGGGAAAGGAGAGGGGATGTCCAACAGGTAGATGAATGGGGTAAAGGTCCAAAAGAATAAATTAGAGGGAGGGTGATTAACATTCAGGAAGCAGGAGAACATGTGAATGATACAATATAGCATCAAATGGTTTACTGAGATATTACAGCAAAAAAGAGTGAATGGGTAACAGCAAATAAGGAGGGTGTGTGTTTGCCCCTGGCCTGGTCATCTTATAATGTACTGTAGTAGGAATGAACAAAAGATAAATTTAAATCTCTTTGTAATCATTTTATTTTGGTGCATCACCACTAATCTTCTCAAAATTATAATGTACACTCGCTACAATTTTTTTTTTTTTTTGCTCTAAGGGTCGTACAATGACAAAACAAATGAGAAATCTGAATATTATTCTCTGAGGAAGTTTTACAGCAAGTTCAATTACTACTTTTCACCTGTAAATACTATAAAGATGAGCAATATACTGCACACAGTATTATTACATAATATTGAGGCATACCAACCATTCTGAGATGACACGAGCCATAGTGCTCATTTTGAAATCTGTCGTGCCTAACTGTTCGAGAACTTTTTCTGGGGAGTGTACAACATAATAGAAATTTAGAATAGTACTGTAGGTAGATACAGTATGCACTGCAATATTCACACTTGGAGCCAAGAACAGGATGGAGACCTGGCAGGAAATTAAAATCTTTCAAAAATAAGATAAACATTTATTGATGCTCTGTACAGCAACACAGAATGGAAAAATAATTATTCCACTTAAAAACTTACATGTCCATGTCTAATAACAAATGAAAAAACATATTCCACAGTAATTTCAACAGTAGTGTTCACTTTGAAATCCTGTA